TCTCTTCCATGCCGGCATAATGAAGGGCGCAGACCTTGGCCGGTTGGCCTGCTAGCGCAGGTTGTTGGCAGCTTGAGAACAAGATTTAGGGTTCCGATTTTAGGGATTAGAAGTCTAAGTTGGTATAATAGTATGCATACAAGTTTAGGGTTCAGAAACTTAATGCAAACCTTTTTTTATAAAGTCACACGTGCGTGCACGTGCACAATTACTAGTTTTGGAAGGAACTGCAAGATGCCAGATCACACCCGATGTAGTATCTGCGTGCTTAACTAATAATCTCATGGATCTCGACTGTCGAGGCAACAAATTTCTTCAAATGCACTCCTTACTTTCTGGAAACGAATACCGTACCATTCCTTTCAATAAAATATGTATTTCTAAATATTTGTCTTTCTAAAGGTTTAAACAAGCGACTACATACAAAGCAAAATGAGTGAATCTATACTCTAAAATATGTCTATATACATCCGTATGTAATAGTCCATTTGAATCTCTAAAAAGACAAATATTTAGAAACGGAGAGAGTACTTCTTACACTAAGAGAAAACTAATCCCAGAATATATATTAACCGCGCACTGTAAAAGTGATAAAGGAGACTGTAAACAAAGGCAGAGAAGAGTTAGGTGTGGGTGGGCAAGAGGGTGAGCGGTCGCGGTCACGGCAGGTAGTTGTAGAGCGCGTATCCGACGGTGCAGCCGTAGAAGAGCAGGCCGGAGACGGCGAGCACGGAGAGCGCGAAGGTGGCGCCGACGGCGAGCGGGATGTTGCAGGACAGGATCCCGAACTTGAGCTGGATGGCGTCGATCATGGAGAGCAGCAGGAAGAAGGTGCCCATGATGGAGCAGGCGGCGGCCAGCAGCATCATGGGCCGCGCGTACCGCAGCACGGCGCGGCGCCGCTCCCGGGGGCCCGCGGCGCGCCACGCCGGCATCTCCTCGCAGTCGTCCGTCATGACCGGCTTCTGCTCGCCGTCGCCGTAGAAGTCGTCGCCGGCGGCCAGCAGCGTGACGGAGAGCTTCATGCCCTGCGCCACCAGGCTGGACAGCAGGTAGAAGCCGAAGGAGAGGATCTCGAAGAGGAAGAAGTTGCGGGCGATGTCGTCCCCGGCGACGCAGTTCCGCGGGACGGTGGAGGAGGCCGTGATGGTCCCCGTGATGCCGATGAAGACGGCCACCGTGAGGAAGGTGTTGGCCGACACGATGCCCTCCAGCGCCTTCACGTGCACGTCCGGGTTCCGCCGCCGCACCGTCGGCATCTCTCCCGAATTACCGATATTATTCTTCAGGGCCCGCCGCCGCCCCGGTGCTACCTAGCTGTTCCCCAGGTCCTGCTACCTGCCTAGCTATACCGTGGACGCGTGTAGAAGATGAGGTGAGAGAGACTAGCTATAGCGGTGCGCGTACGAGTGTGGGAGTGAGTGAGTGAGTGAGCTGGGCACGTCTCTTCATTTCATGGGTGGTTCAACTACTCTGAATTCATTAAGCAACCATATAATTCGTTTCACCTCATAAAAATATACATTTGAATTAGTAACACGGCCAATTGCAGGCTCTACTTTTGAGAGTCGTGCATCTTGCGTAAATTGAACGGTAATGCCACTACACCTACTTGTATAATAATATTCTTATTTAGGCTCCACAGAACGTGCAACTGCAACTACTGGCGTGTGATCAATCATGGCTCGCTTTGGGCAAACCTGAAAGGCGCAAACGATCGATTTAGGACAGCACGCATGGGCGGAGTGGACATCCAATCGAGTCGAGTTGATAGCGGCATTCTACCCACCCGGCCGGCCCGGTGGTTGCCATGCATGGTCCGAGTGGCATGCATGCACCACTAGTAGCTCGAGCTAGCTAGCTAGCTGCTTGTCCTCAACTCCAGAGGATTGTTCCGGCAGCTCATGCATGCATGATTGCTCCGGAGTCCAGACACGCTTCACCCTGTAGCGTTGTTTGCTAAGGCATCTTCAACGTACTTTAAACCGACTGCATACGATTCCGACCGCGTGGTCTAGACGAGTCGTGTCGTCTAACGCGGACCTGTATCGATCCGTCGAGCGATTCGAACATATTTTTTTCATAGCCGGAGATGAACCAAGGGGCTTTACAAGCGTGTCCGCTCCTGACCGCCCTGGCCACCCCAATCACCTCACTCGCCCGAGCGCGCTTCCCGTCCTAAACAGTGAGCATCTCTCCAGAGTTTCAGCACCACATTCATGACCGGCTAGAGCAGATGCGGCCTCTCATTGTCGCCAGCATTGAAGCGGTGCGTCGCCCGTGCTGCTTCCCGGTGCATGTGACTGTTCCGTGTTTAAACGACACCATGGTCGTCCGACCGTCCATCTGTCGTCCACATTAATGACACGCGGTTGTCAAGGAACCTACTCCGACGCCACCCTTTTGCCCGTCTGCCGCCTACCATTTTCATTCAACCGCTATATAAACTATAGCCCCGACCGTAGTTGCAGTCATCCTCCTTCAGTCGATTTATCCTCACCGCATCACTCCCATCAGGGGCGAATCTACAGTACATGCTTTAACAAGATTAAGCCTGCCAATGGCGGTGCCAGGATCCAGACCTTGTGATGTCAAGATTTTGGTAGCAAATTTCTTTTACACAAATTGAACAGTAACAATAAAGTCATAATTTAATATAGATATATTTCTGTAGTGGACCTTTTGGATCATGCATATTTTGATATGTATGCATAATATAAATTTTACTGACAAAATGACATCTTGAATCCTAATAAGCAGCAATATCTTCTAGTTCCTAGTATAGTAGTATTCATCGTGAGAGACTAAAATTAGAAGAGGTTTCTAGTCACAAAACCATGCCGGCTAGCCGGAGGTTGACGCGCCTCATGCCCTCAAATATCGCATCTCTATTTTGGAGAGATTTACACAGGAAGATGTTTAACTGTGGAAGGAGAGGTAAATACACCAGTGGTGCTTGAATTTGACATGGATGATCATTTTGATGCCTAAACTTAAAAAATATATCAAACTGGTTCTACAACTTGGCACGAACGGGCAAATACGGTGCTAACGCTGTCTGTAGACATAATATGCATCGAAGTGGCAATGTATATAGCTGATGTGTCACTAACATAGCGTGGGGCCCATTCATAGTTACGAAACAAAAATGCTTAAGCACTATATACTCTACGAGTAGTGGGCCGCCTCTCAGTAATTAGGAAAATTAACATAAAAATCTGCACTACATGAATCGAACATGCTACCTCCGCCTTGGGCGATGCATGCGCCAGCGACTCCAACCAACATATTTTGTTGACAAAAAAAGTCCCTCAGATATTATGTACTTAAACAAAAAAACTCTTATGTACATAAATTGACTGCAGCCAGTGCCCATGTTGCACACATTATTTTAAAAGTAAAAAGTATGTAAATAATAATGATAATAATAAAAGTTAGATTCGAATATTCATGTGTTATTAATAATTACCTCATTATACACAAATATCAATGTGCATACAAAATAAATATATAGAGGTATGCGATAAAAAAACTTAATTTTAGAAATATTAACTAATTATGTGGAAAATACTATTTTAAATATAATATATGAGTGTTTCAAACTGTTTGAAAACAAACATTGAAAATACACAGCAATGGGCTATATTTAACAATGATTTACGAATATTTAAAATCTCATGAAATAATATATATGAATTATAACAATGTTTGTATAATATAAAACATTGATTTCTTTTAGATTACTATTTTTCAATATTCGTACAGTTATTCAAAGGCTTGAATAATTATTCACATGTTTAAAAATAATTAATTTACAAATATGTGTGAGTAGTTCCCACCGGACCTACGGGTCCATAGCAGTAGCTAGATCTCTCTCTCTCCCTCTCTCTCTCTCTCTCTCTCTCTCTCTTCAATACAATGATCTCATATGAGATCTATTCAAAGTAAACTTTTGCGGTGCATTGTTGGGATCCAATGAATTGCGGGTTTATGATCAGATTATTGATTGAAAGTATTTGAATCTTTTTGAGATATATTTATGTGTGATTTCATAGCTATGTATGTTTCCCAATCTATGAGTCTTCTTTGGCCAATTAGATGATTACATCTTCAGAGGAAGTGCTGCATAGTAGTGGGTAAAATATTGCGGTGTCTTTACTCAGTGACATGGACATTTTTCTTATAATCATGAAAATAAAAAATATGAACTCTTTTAAATTCCTGATCTTTTTTTAAAACCTGAACTCTCAAATTCATGAACATTTTCTTCAAATTGACGAACTTTTTTCAAGTTTGTGGACATTCTTTTGAATCGATGAACTCTTCTGCCAGATTCATACAACATTGGGGACGTTGTATGAATCTCAAACTCTTACCTCGGGAATCACGTGTGCGATAGGTTCTGGCATCACATACCATTGTTCTTTTTTTGTTTGCCAAAATGTGTGCATCCTCGAAGCTTACCGCACAAGGTTATCCTGCTGCGTGTGCCATGCACCTCCCCCTATTGGACAACATTACAAGACAATGATTTGCATCTGCGTGTGCGAAAAAGGGTTTTAACCGTGTTCGATGGACTTGACAGCATTAGTGTTGGTATCCTACTCTGAATCCTACTTGGACTCTGATTCAAGATCCTACTCTAACTCCGGGAGAGCGAAGATGATGGCGTTGCCGGAATTGCGCTGATTTCATTTAAAACGTGGAAGTCTTTCTTCGACTCCCTTGATGTTGATGATGACTCTTGGTCATGATTCATGGTTAAAGGCCACGAGGTGATCCACCCCGAATATTTTGACAGAGATACAGATTATCTCCAAGGTAAAGAACAGGATCATTTGCTTAATTATGGGGGTATATTCTTAGTGCCCGCCTGGATTTGTTCTAATTAAATTAGCATTTTCAGATGTGTAGCATAAAAAGGTCCACATGTGCTTACCATAAATAGGTCCTTGGTTACAGAGAGCCAAACCAGTGTAATATAACTAGTACACAAAGTATAGAGCTGCATCTGCCATGATTGACTAACTATTGTCTTCTCCAAGAAAAAGAAAAAGGTAAAATGATAAATAAGTTGGTGCTATTTATGATATAGGGCATGCATCTGCCAAAAATCCGATTCGGCTCTTGGGAGCTTATGCTCCTGCCCACCAAAAATATTTTTTACAAACGTCATTTTTTTTTGAAAAATTAGATGTGTTCATTGTCACATTCAAATGACCCCTGCAATTTTTTAGTGGAAAAACTTAAGCTATTTGACCCGTGTGAGAAAAACAAATCAAATGTCGATGTTACCTCCAAATCTTATAGTTAATTTTTTTTTTTACCAACGAACCACTACTATCCCGTTTCACATGAAAATTGTCAAGCACGCTTGTTAGACTAAGATCAACATCCACACACAAAAAATTAGAATTTTAGAATATTTCTACACTTCATTTTGAGATTACTTTTCATTCAGGAGCATATGCTCCGCAGAGCCAAAACAACCCTTGTGCATCTGCCATGTTCAAGATTCTACAAATAATGAACAGTACTATGATACGAGAAGTCAGTGAGACACATGAAGCGCCTTCACGGTGTGGTACACTTAAATAGATGTATCTAGATGTATTTCAGGTCCAGATATATCTATTTCAGCGTCAAGTAATTTCGGGTCGAGGGAGTAGAATATTAGAGGCGTCGAAAAAACTCCCTTAGAAGAATGCACGTCAAGTTATGAGTTATGACAGGTGGGTGAGACAAGGAAATGATGGTGGAGATGAGAGGCAGTTCGTTGGAACAGAGTTATCATGTGCGAACGCTGCTCGCTCATTCCGTGTGAAGCAAAGCTGCCTTCACTAATCCCCGTGTGAACGTCCAAGGCATGCAAATGCTGTCAGCTGGTTATAAACCGGAGTAGTGCTACTGCATGACTTGATCAAAACACAAGGCACGTCAACGGAGGACAAGATGGAACGTGTCAAGGGGTTCCCTAGCCGCTGCCTCAAGATGCTAGCCCGATGGCTCTGCCCGGGGGCTGACGACGATCACGCCGCCATAGCCCAGAGGCTCGGCATGCTGCCCAAATCCGAGGTCGATCACGCCGACGACCTAGCCCAATGGGTCGAGGACGAGCGCGCCGCCATAGCCCAGTGGGAGGAGGCCGAGCGCGCCGCCGCCCGCGACAGCCTGCAGGCCTTCACCCTCCGCCTGAACAAGCGCCTCGCCGCCGGCGCCGGCAGGAGCGGCAACCTGGTCTTCTCGCCGCTGTGCCTCT